ATATGCTCGTTTTGTACTGTGTCAAATCCTCCCTCGCCCACCATCCCTCCCCATCTGCTCACTCACCACTTATGCACCATGATGCCAATCATGTGCTCTTTACCACCCCCATTCCTCCACTATTAGACCATACCCATTACCCGTGACCCCCTGTAGAGGACTTCCTCAAGCGCCTCATACGTCTCCTTCTTCGGTTTTGAAACATAAAAATGCCAAAAATGAACCACGAAAAACAAGTCGCCGCGAGCGAGTGTGGCCCAGTGGCGCGCCACACGATCGTCAAAGGGTCTACCATCCATGTTCAATAGCGATTTTTCGAAGGCGGCCTTTTATATTTCTGTCGATGACGTCATGCGACGAAAGCGAAGGTGCGGTAGAAGTGAAAATGACCTCGCTCTTGTTTTTTTTAGTCGCGGCCTTCACGGGTGTTAACTTTTCACACATCGCAAGGTGGCTATAGGATTGTTCGTTGTGCCATTCATCGTTCTTTTTTATTCTGTCTTTGATTCGTAAGCTTAAAATCATTTTTCCCCTACTTTTCAGCAAACATTTGTTTATTTCTGTTAACTGCTTCTTATCGACTACTGTAATTTAGTGCGACCGATCGCAAGATTGAAGACTATTGATTGATTTCAGATGCAATGGTTGTTAGGCCTATCAGCTTTAATCTGTTATGTACATTGCCAACTAAACTGTGATATATTAGATCCGGAATGTAGAGCATCATATAGGTAAGGTTCAGGTTGAGTTTGTCCGCAAAGAGCATAGATGTGGGCGGAGCGTTCCGGCACGGATCCCAGCCAATCGGGGTACCCGACAGGAGGCCCGTCGCGCGGCAAGAAGGCAGAGAAGCAGTCAGCGGACGAGTCGCAGCGCGTACTGCAGTGATTTCGCGTCAAGTTAATAGAATGTACTATAGTACGTCCACATCGCACAGCACGCGCTGCGACTCGTCCGCTGACCGTCTGCGTCTCTGCCTTCTCGCCGCGCGACGGGCCTCCTGTCGGGTACCCAGCCAATCAAACTGCCGTGTTCACTCATCACTCGGTAGTGGAGCTCATTGGCTGAGTGCTCTGGATCCGTACCGGAACCATCCATGCACATTCCCAATGCGAAATGTGCTCACAAAGTTTGTGTTTCATCCAGTGAGGGGGGGGGAAGTGGTGCGACAGTTGCTACCTTGTACAGGAATTCCAACTTTTGCAGGAGAAGGAAACTCCGGGTTGCGTGAGCCATTCCAATTCCACCTTTCAACCCGTCTAAGAGCTTTCTTCCCCACGAAACATTGAATTGTTGAGTTACTTTAGACAATAAGAACTGTTGCACCACTACCCTCCCCCTCCCCCTTCACTGGATGACCCCCAAATTCTTCTCCGATGGTTCAGTATTAAGCAGTTGTTTTTTAGATCAGGAGGAAAACGAAACGTACTACGACATAAGGTGAAAAATAGCTGCAATTATCAAGATGTGTGGTTGATACCAGGACGAGCAGACGCATCCTGCAGTGAGTTATGCTTGATTTCGTTCCTCCGTGGAAATTCCTCATTCATCGGTCTAGCACATCACGTGAATATCAGCTTCCAGCTCCCGGCACCCAGTTTGGGGAGTCCCTTGCTTTATTTTCATTTTATTTTCTACGATATTGCGAAATTTCACAGCCGCGTCGCATCCGCACGCGTAATTAACATATCAGTTGCACTTACAACCAACAATTGCCTATTTCAGCTCGTCCTGGTGCGAAACGAGTACTTGAGATCAATCCTGGACAGATCCGTATCAAACCAGATGTCGTCCGACTTCCCGGCTGTTTCACCCTTGAGATCAAGAATTTACGGGTACTGCAGATTTCCTGAGTTTTCGGGGACAAAGGTCGCGCTAAACGTGTGTGTGGGGCTACCTGATGCTGGTACCGAATGGTTCCCATCCACACGTCCAGCGCAGCTTTTGCCCTAAATATTTCATATTGTTTTGGGTGTTCTTACGTTGACAACTTGATGTTGAACTTTTGTTCTTTTGGCGCTTTCTACTTGGTTTAGTGTGCGGTGCTTTCTCGCTTTCGCTGCAATTTAAACCAACACGCAACCCGAGAAAACATTCACCGAGTCGCTATCACGAAGATAGGGGACGTATTTCTTCGACCAATGCCTAGGAGGTGGCAGGACCTTTGAGGAAAGTAAAATAGCACACACACCCTGTATTCTCTGATTCCCGCCTTTGAGGCTTGTTGGATTCTCTCATCAAAAGGAGGCGCTTGACGGCGGGTGTTTTGAAGCTGACACTACAATGCCCCCTTTGTGATAGCGCCTATGCACCTTTTCGCGCTGCAAAAACTAGCAAATTTCAGGTTAAAGACGAAGCGGAAGCGATCGGTAACTCGTTTTTCGCCAAGGCCGAGTATCAATGGTGGAACGTGAAAGACTTCTCTAATCTGAAATGTCAAAACGCTTCAAACAATGGTTGTGGCGGTTACGGCAATAATTGGTAAGGCTCAGTTACAGTAATACACATCAAATAAAGGAAGAAAATGCGAATAGGAGAATTGAGATCTTGCTGCTGGGTCCTGGACCATGTCATATTTGGCGCACTTGCAGTTGACTGCTTATGGCAGGGTAAAATGTCCATTCGGACACTTTGAACAGGAGTCATACGAGGCGACTTCCGAGAGGGGGCCGTATTCGGGGACAAGACGTCTGTTCTCCTCCTAGGCGGAGCCGATCGAGCTGCGCGATCATTAAAACCTGAGGTTATGCTTGGGAATGAGCTTAGGCTTGTGGCTTACGCTCACACATTGGTTTATGCATAAGCCTACGATTGGGCCTAGGTTTGTTTCAAGCAAGACGAGTAGTCTAGCAGAGCTGTAAGCGCGCCGCAGTACGCGCTCGCGAGGAGGGGCTGCCGGGGTGCCCTTCGCCATCTGATTCAGCCGGGTCAGCAGAAAAAGAGAGACAGAGACAGAGAGCGTTAGCGCTGATGAGGGCAGCACCCATCAGCGCGAAAATCAGTCAACAAAAGGGTCCTCTTTTTGGAGGTTCTTGGCCGCTTTTCTTGTCTTTTTTCTTCATCCGTGCATCATTGAAATCTCTCCTTTTCTGTGCCAATACATCGTAAAGGCCGCCTTTACATTCTCGGTTCCACTCAAGAAATCAATGCCAGTTTGTCTTTATGCATTTAGCTATTATTGCGACGTATGCCGTGCTTTGGCTGAGATCGATCAAGGTCACGTAGACATGTCAGATTCGATCGCAAGCCAACTGCGAGGAATCAGATGCCCGAAACGGCCAGGTCTTTATACATTCAGAAAGGTTGGTCATATAAATCACCCAGACAATTAATCAATAGCTCTACTATGAAATTCAAAACGCCGCTTGCAGGAGTTCTGCTTCAATGATTGGGCCGCTTTCGATACGGACGGTGACTGTGAAATGGATTTCCTACAAGGAGACAAAGGTGACTACAGAGGTGCCCTTGGCCACCTTACAGCAAGTAGGCTATGTAAGTGACCTGAAAGAGCTCTTAAGAGTAATGGTTTTTATATATCCGATTTTTAAATGAAAAATCACTTCAGGGCTCAGTAATCGCAAAAATTCGTCTAGCGTTCAACGCTACTGGTTCTGTGGAAAGGAAACGATTATTGAAAGAAGCGCAAATAGAGGAGACCGTAGCCAAGTCAGTTTAGTTCACATAATCCAAAATACTCATATTAACGATAAAACCTGTCCCTGTCAGTTGTAACGTTCTGGTTGACTTGATTTTAAGTATACTCCCTTTCAAAAAAAACAAACGAGAAAAGCGTCGGGTGCAGACCATACACCACAATTGACGACGATAATAGATAGAGGTGAAATCTCTCCTACAGCTCGCCAGTCAGAACGTAGGCAAATAGAAGAAAAAAGGAAAAGATTCTGGTGGGGCCAAGAAAAAGTTTCAAAATTCCTGCCACAGCACCCAACTTGTTCAGAATGTCAGGTCGACAGTAGTTTTTCATAAGAAAAGTCATATTCGCGCATCAAATGACCAGAATTTCAGTCCCACCTTTTCATGTTCAGAGAGCTCGAAGAGCGACGGTCGCACTTGGGACGTGAACAATGGTCAATTCGACAAATTCAGTCAGTGGTACATCGAATACCGGAAGAATATTTGGCATAAGTAAGTTTTTAGATTCAGTACGCTTCATAACATATTGTCATCAATATTTATACGATCCAATATTTAGCTCCATAAGCTTCAAGTTCCTGGTTCCTTCAATGTTCGTGTGTTCCTTCAATGTGCTTGTGTTCCTGCAATGTTCTTGTGTTCCTTCATTTTTCTTTCGTTCCTTCAATGTTCTTGTTCTATCAGTACTTGAGTTTTATTGTACGAGCCACCTTGTTACAACGATGAACTGATAGTAATAATAAATAAATAAATAAATAAGTCTGCAAGGCCTCGGCGCAGAGCTCCGAATCGCGGTCACTATTTGGAGGGACCAATGGGCAGCATTAGTTGGCGTACAGTAAAGACGAGCCGTCGCGATCCACTGTGCCGTGGGCTGATGACGGCTTATTTTTGGAGAACTCAACTTCGACAAGACCTCACCATATGAAGCTCGGTCACGGGTGATAGAGGAAACCGACTGCGCGCGGCTCGGAGCATCGGTCACAATTAGCTAGCTGCCGAAGTAGAACGTCTAGGAACGCAGCACCGTTGGGAGAAGGGTAGGGAGAACCAGAGCCAAAACGTAAATATAATAAAGTTGTAAGTATAAATCGTAAGGAACACGATGCTGAGTCAGTGAGCAAAAAGGAACCTTTTTTACCCAAACGCAACTTTCATTCAAAATCCTCCACATAAGTGATTTTAGATCGTTTATTGGAACATTGAACATTTCATTAAGATAATATTTCTATACAAGCCAAAATTATTCATGCACTACATCTTGTTTTCAAAAATTGTGTAGGCCTGACCAACAATGAGATCGAGCGTACGTGATATCGATCACAGTTACAGATTTCGCGTAGACGAATTACCTACCGTGCTGTTGCTACCGAGAATGAAATCATCGTGTCTCAGAAATACTATCGACAGTTGCGAGAAAACCCCAGCGTCGGACAATAATTAACTAGCGGGGAGGACGTAGTCAGACTTACACCGTGGGGAAATAGAGATCGCCACTAGTATACTGAGTTTCAAGATATTATATAGTATTGGTCGTTCTGGATTCACAATATGTTGGACAGTGTTAGTGATTTCTAGCATAACCAGAGGAAGGACAGGCTATCGATAAGCAATAATCCATGCTCAATAGTCGTCTCGTTGTTAGATAACCAGGGAAGATTCAAGTTTCCCAGCGGAGCTGCTTAGAATGAGACCCACATATATCACAGAACTCAAGGCGGTAGGATTACAAGATATGTGAACAAAACTAAAAGATGAGCGCCTGGCATAGAAAGTCGAGACGTGAGCAGTGTTGGCTAAATTTTTAAGCGTTTGTATGTGAACGTTTGCTTTCTCGAGACCTTTTTAGGGACGCGAGGAGTTAGTGGTAGTGCCCTCGCTTTTCACCTAGAATCTCATGAGTTCTCTTCTGGAATGCAAATTTCGAAAGCGCTAACACTACTTAAGGGCGAGTTCGAAAGCCCGGAGGCTCGCACGGTTAAGACGTAACGCTTTACTTTAGCCACGCTTGACTTTACACAAGAATGCTGGGTTGTGAACAAAACTTTCGCCAGCCTGGGGCGAAAGTTTTGTTCACAACCCAGCATTCTTGTGAAACATTCGCAACGGCGAACTGCGGCTCAAAAACAGCAGTTAACAAACAACAGCAACTTTGACTGCTCACAACTTCCTTGGCAGGTTCATTTTGCAGTTTTAGTTTCCATATTTGTAATCAGCGTTTGAAGCTCTATCGATATATTTGGGTCTCATCTCAAAGTTCCATGGGAAGTTGAATGCCTTTCCTGGTAAGTAGAGTCACGGACTCACGGCATCTTGCAACGAATTCAAAGCAAAATAGCAGAAGCCTGCTGCGCCGCGATATGCGACGCAATGTGCCTGCGCAGGTACCTGTCAAACTAGTTTTGCTTGAAAATCAACTACACCACACGTGGTATTGAGATGAATTATGATGAGGAAATAAACAGTAATCTAAATTACAGATAAATCTAGATAAATACATTTTCCTACGGTATCGTAAGCATTTATCAGTAAATGTAAATTACGTCAAGTACATACGTAAGCAAGCATTCTTCCTTCTTGATCTCAACGACTCGTAGGATTTGCCTGAACATATTTCATTCCATTTTTTTCTGTTGATTCGAATTGGATGATAAAGTTGATTGAGGGGGGGTAGTGACCCGACTTCCTACCGTCATCTTACAAAACTACAAGCTGCACAAAACGCAGTCAGGTTGAAGTACGTCCGTCTACGGTGTGGCCCCTTGTTCATCTTTAGCCTTTACGCTCTTACTTCATGCCCATTACCCATGCCGCCTTATCCTCTCAAGACCCCTTCAATTTTGGAGGGATTTTCTTTGAGGGAATTCTACTTTCAATATTGGTCTACTTCAATATTGAAATTTGCGTAAATTCCCACTCAGTCACACACCAAGCGCCATGGTGCTTCTTCACACGTTTTTTTTTTCGAATTCGGCACAGTAAAGGTAAATCACGAGCCAACATTCTTTGCAAGGTGGAAAATGACCAAGTGTGCTTTCAAAAATAGCTCACCAGTTAGGATCTTGGCTTTGCCTGCCTGAGCTGCTTTGTTTCCTGCCCGCGGGTCGCGCGAGTGCCGGCGATCATCGGGGCGCTGCGTTTGGTGTCTCGGCAAAGGTTCGGTCAGCACGGACTCGGTGGCTCGTTGTGTGCGATGTTGTCGCTGCTGCTGCAAGGGCTTTCGGATCGGCTAGGTGTGCTTGCGCGTGGTTAACTATCGGTGGGGTGATGGCGATGTGGTGTTCGGGTGTGTGTGAAGGGCCTGGCGTTGGGTGTGAGGATATGTGTGTGTAATACTGTCCGTCTGGTGATTGCCTTGTGTGATGTGCGGATTATCTCTTGTCCTCGAAAATGAATCTAAAAAAATGAATCCGTGAAGAACAAATAACAACTCTAGACCTCGCTCGCTAGACCCAGGTTGGCGTGCGAGTGATACATTTCACGAACGCACGCCCGCAAACATACCAGCCTAGCGAACATGTCAAATAGTGCGCCCAAAAGAACCAAACAGAGGTGAAAACCTCCACAACTTCAGTTCGTAGATATGCTAAATTAAGAAAATCATAGAACTAAGAACCACGTGGAGACAAACCTTATGAACAGTTGAAGAAACTGTAGATGTATCTGACGGAAGTGGCAACCTGACGTTACCGTGCTCTTCAGAAGAAACTTCCGACATCCTCTCCGATACCGATCGTCGAAGCTCCCTTCTGAAAAAATGAAAAGGTTCTGAGCTCATCTTGCAGAACGTGTACGAACTCGCACTTCCACTGAAACACATAATTTGTTGCACAAATTTCAATATTGGCTGTGTGAAGCGCAGGCATTCTCGATTCTGAAATGGCCATGAGAGGGAAAGATGGGGATAGGGGGCGGGACTAAGGACTCTTGAAGATCTGTTAATATGTGCATTCCAGAAACAATGCGCGTTTTGAAGGCCTTTTTCGCAGATCCTTCGCACTGCCACTTAAGCTGTACTTTACTAGCTGCAGCAGCCTGGCCAAAGGTCAATGTCAGTACAACTGCTCCCCATTGGACAGCAATTGAGAAGTAATAAAAAATACATTAAACCAGCCGCGTTTCATGTAAAGCGCGAGTTCATCGCAGTCTGATTGATGTCCAGGAATATCGCATGCAGAGGTGCAATCACTGCACCCTAATGAAACCGAAGGGTCACGACCGAGGGGAGGCATATGGTGCAACACTGCGTCCATGTAGGTGATAGCGGTGGGCGAGATTTCCAGGGTTAGTGGGGATATCATATCGCTTTCACTTTTATCCCTACCCTGAAGTTTCCTTCCTCTGCGAAAATTGGATTACTTGAGTCGATATGAACTGTAGCATCACATGCCCTCCACCGATGAGACCCAGACTCACCGCATAAGATATGACCAGGCCAATGATAAATCTGGTCTTTCAATGTTCAAGCCATCCTCTACATATCGTTAAACGGCACAAAAGGATAAATAGACGTTTTCGCAAACGCACGCGCATTTCCTGGGACTTGGCTTCTTGTCTCATTCTGGTAGGCTCTTGCCGAGATCAGTTCGAGCTTGTTTCATTTCTGGCTGCGAACATAAATAAAGCTGATTAGTCTTTGCTCTACGACATCACAGGGGGGAGAGCGCGAACTGGGCTAATAAAAAGAAAAAGTTGCAAAGAACGGTGCACATATATCTGCACTGATCCCCATAAATAGTACAACGCTAAAACTTGCTGAGCATCTGCAACAGTTTATAATCACATCAGAAGCCAAATCTAGCCCTCCAATCAAGAGAGAAGAAAAGTGCTGCTAGGCATCAATCCCCTTTTCTGTTTACTCTGACTAAGGAGCCTTTTGTCAACCAAATAACAATAAAAATAGGTGCCTAACTTAGTTCGCGGGGGGGGGGGCACGCGGCGGCGCGGCAGTCTGCTCACCTGGGCCCTCGAGCGAGACAGTGTTATACGAATTGTAAACTCGAACATTCCAGCTTTTCACGCATGTCAAGTGACTGCCCCCACCCCCCAACCCCCTAGGCTGGCTACACTCCCCCTGGCCCACGGATTTCCGAACATGCCAGACGAGCAGACTGCCGCGCCGCCGCGTGGCCCCCCCCCAACTAAGTTAGCACCCAAATTTTACTTGTAAGTCTTCGGGATTCCTTGGCTTACGAAGCCGATTAAGGCCCTGTTCAGAGATGTCCGCCGGCGCGAAAAAACGCACAGGCGAAAATCTCCGCCAAGATTTAGATACGCATCGACTGAGAAATTGTGAAACGCGTAAGCGAAACGTCCGGAGCAGGCGAATTTCAGTCAAGAGTTTGATATGTATCGACTGTGAGAAACGCACAGGCGGAAAATCGCGTGAGCGAAGCGTTCGTAAGTCGATGCGTATGATCCCACATTCCGGATTCGCCTGTGCGTCTTCGTTCAGTCGATACATATTCCACATTGTTTCGCCTATGCGTTTTT